CCAATGCAAATTGGAGTGGGTACTGGTCTAAACGTACCCACTCAAGAGTATCAAAAGGGTTAGTAAGCACAGACTGCATCAAGTCCTAAATGTCTGTTCTTGAATATGATGTTTTCCATGATTTAATTCCCCTGCAAACAGGTACTGGCTGTGTATGAAAGTTTCTATGATGGCAGTGTCTGTGTTTTTCAAGTGTGGTTTAACTGCTGGAGTACCTATCTGCCACCCTACTCCTTCTTCCCAGAAAATATACTAATTAGAAGAAGGGGGTTCTTTAAATCTTGCATCTAGTTGGTTTCCTGATTACAAGTGAAAAAAACGTTTTGGATACGCTAAATGCTTTAAGTTGAAATAAGAGCCCAAAGTGACTTTATGTTGAAAAATACAATGTTTTGCATTGCTAAAGATGAACACGTATAAATAAAGCTAACAAGTTATAAACTTGGGACTTCCCTGGTGGTGCAGTGGTTAAGAATCCGCCCGCCAGTGCAGGGGACACGGGTACGATCCTGGGAGGATCCCATATGCCGCGGAGCAACTAAGCCCATGTAGCACAACTACTGAGCCTGCGTTCTAGAGCCCGCGTGCCACAACTACTGAGCCCACGTGCTGCAACTACTGAAGCCCGTGCACCTAGAGCCTGTGCTCTGCAACGGGAAGCCACCACAATGAGAAGCCCACGCACAACAAAGAGTAGTCCTTGCTCATCGAAACTAAAGAAAGCCTGCACACAGCAACTAAGACCCAAAGCAGCCAGAAAAAAAATAATTAAATAAAATAAACTTAACAAGAAATATATAAAATCTGTATTAAAACAAAACAAACAAACAAAAAACTTCCACAAGACCCAAAAGTAGCCTTGAACAAAGAGAAAGAATCCCTTGTGTCTGGATAGGATGTTTCAAAATCATCAATATGTCTGTCTAAATTAACTTAAAAATTAACTGCATCCCCAATAAAAACAGGAAGGAAGATTTTTTTTTTCTGGTGTTAGTCAAGCTTGGAAAAATAAGAGGGGAACTAGGCTCACCAGATATTAACACATACTACAAAGCCTCTATAATTAAAACATGGGTTACTAGAGCATGAACAGACAGACAGACCAGGGGAATAGAACAGAAACCTCAGAAGCAGACCTAATATTATAAAATAATCAATCACCTCCCAAAGTAATCTTAATATTAATACAATTTCAATCAGAATCCTAACGAAATCTGGAAAGGAAGACATTGGCAAATTGATGATAAACTTTGACTGTAAGAAAAAAAAAACTCATCGACATGAGAACCCTGCCACAACCAAGAAATTTTAAAGAACAACTGAGGGGAAACTTGCCCCACCATTAAACACATAAATAGATAAAATAAACTTGGACCTATCACACAATGGAGTACTACAGAACATAATTTCATGGATCTCTATACATATTTATATAACAAACAGTCTGGGAGAACATGTTAAATTAATAACAGTGGTTAATAGTGGGTTCGAAGGGATGATCTGAGGGACTACTACTTTTTGTTTCCAATATAATTACATTTTCTACCACAATTCATACTGTTTGCAATAAAATAAATTTTAAGATTTAAAAAATGGGAAAAGGCAAAGGGAAAACAGTAGAGTCCCTTCGTTGTACTATGTTACAAAGGGACTTCATCATAAGCGCTTCTAACTGCAAGGACTGGGGGTTTTGACTGTGCAACAAAGAGACAGGATTCTAATCGGCACAGTGGCCTTCAAGTTGATTCTCTGAATCCTAAGGTTCAGTAAGGTACCTCAAGAGACTCAACAGGGCCTTCTCTTCCACTTCACCCACAACAACCTGACTTTCTTATTTAAGGTCATACTGCGTAATAAGAAAGGGTTCTATTGCCTAAATAAAGTTTGTAAACCACCCACCCGGAAGACTACTAAGAGAAACACAATGTTAAAGGCAATTAGTACTTGTTAATGAATTATAAGATCTATTATATTAATGAATATTTAGTCACAACTGGTGTAACTGCCCAAATGCCACAAGCTGTTAAGAATCTTTCCTTTTACCTGGAAGAAGAACCTCAAGGTTCTTACCCTCAAGAATTCAAATCCTTATTGAGAAGTACTGTAGAATAAATTATTGCATTTTATATATGATTCCGTTTCCTAAAATAATTTTTTAAATTCTAAGCTAGGTAGATATGCTTTCCAAATTACTAACTCTAACCAGCTTTATGCTTTTCAGGGGCAATATCATACGTAAAAGTTTTGCAGATAAGTGGGAACTCATGAGGTTCCATGATCTGATTTTTATGCCCCCCGTTACTTGAAATATCCCAACTTTATTACTTGGTTCAGCATTTATCTTTACATGAGCAATATACAAAATTTTCTAGGCTTTCTATACACCTAGGCTTATGTCAGTGCTCAAGAAAGAACCAAACATAAAAAAAAAAAAATTAGGGAGTTCTCCGGGGGTCTAGTGGTTAGGATTTGGAGCTTTCACTGCCATGGCCCAGGTTCAATCCCTGGTCAGGGAACTGAGATCGTGCAAGCCACGGCGCACCCAAAATAAAAATAAATAAATTAAAAAATAAATTAAAATACTTCAATAAAATATATATATAAATTAAAAAGCACAACATTGTAAATCAACTATACTTCAATAAAAAATATATATAAATTTTTTTCTTATGAAAAAGAGAGGACCACACCATCAACAGCTCAGGCAGTCCAAAATTTTAAAAGTCAAATAATAAAAATAGCACACAAGATTACATGAACGACACAGTCTGCACAGTTTGACAAGGGGAGAGATCAAAGTTCAGGGAGGAGTAACAAAGGGCTGCTTAGGGGATGTAGAACTCAGGTCAGGCGACAAGCACACATGAGCACCAGGGTCACTCCTGGCTTTTGGCCTGTGCATAGATGGACTTGCTGAACTATCTCACCAAGAGTGTATACATTTGCCCCAAACTCAAAGAACTGTCACAAAAGAGGGTGAAATGTACTACATATAAATTATACCTTAATTAAAACAAGGAAAAAAAATACCTGTAAATAATTACTTGGAAGACAATTACCATTTTGCATAAAATTTCAGAAACACATGCCTTATGACTTAGCAATTTCATTTCTGGGAACATATTTTCCAGTTATATCCAGAGTACAAAATTATGCATTATATAAAGGATACAATGCAGCACTATTTGTAAAACTTAAAAATCAAGTGTTTTTAAAAATAAAACAATAAATATTTAGTGAACACTTACACGTAGTGATAAAAGTCTAAGATCAAACATTAAGGACTATAAAACAGCCAAAATTATTTCTGGAAGAAAAGATGGTTTGTACAGAACAGAATGCTAATAAACGCAATCTCTCAGCCTACAATAAACCGAGTCACTACTTACAATTTCTTCAAAAAAAACTTCTAAACACAGATGAGTGCAGACGTGGCATTCTGTTCTCAAAGCTTAGTCATTACTGACTGACCTTTCCTTGTACTGAATTCATGAAAATGCAGAAGTCTGCAACCTGTTATTATTCACAGCCACCTCACCTACCCACCACTGACAATGACAACACAACTCTATCCTGCGTTGATTTAACTTTTCTGCATATACTTCCTATAGGTAAGGCAAGGTAAAGAATGCTAATTATATAAACCTTAAGGGATAAATTCTAAACTTCTGTATGACAAAAATTCTCAATTTCTGTATAACAAAAATAAATAAAACAAATTTAAAGTCATTAACATTTTTTAAGTGAGGAGGCAAGCAAAGGGCAAATACTTTTATATTTGTTTACCTTTAATATGCAAAATACTCTTGCCAATACATATAAATAACCAAATAGAAAATACACAAGAAATTTACAGAAGAGCAGTAACGGAAAGCATAAGTAACTTTTAAAAATTAAAGGAAAAAAAAAAAACAGTAACAACAAAAAAAAATGAAAAGCCAAGACAATAACATCACAAAATGGGCAAGGGGGTTTCTTTAATAATCTATTGGTGGAAGCATGTGGTTCACTCATATGAAAATTAACAGCCTTTTTGAAGGGCAAAGAACCATTTTCAATATCTTCCAGGGAGCTATGCTTGAAAAATATTTACACAGCATAAGTATATGTAAAGCTTTTCTAGAAGCATCATTTGTAATATCAAAAAATGTAAACACCTAAAAGTCTGTCAATAGGGTACTGATAAGGGAAATAAATTGTGGCACATCCATGCAGACTTAAGAACTCTACAGTCACTGAAAAGAATAAAGCCACTCTGCTCATCAGGAAAGATGCTAAAGATACACTATTAACTGAAAGAAGCAACTGCAGAGCAACATGCAACTTGCCATCCCACAAAGACCACACCTGAATGGGTTACGAGCCAGAGCCTGTACCAAAAAAAAAAATACCCTGAGCAATATTAGTAATTAAATATGGGTTTGGAAAGAAGGAAAGGGGGTGGTGTTCATTTTCTATATTACACGTTTCTTTGTGTTTTATTTTTTAATGGTAAGAATGTTTTACTTTTGAAATCAGAAAATAAAGGTTTTAAGTATATAATTATGGCAGAAGAAAGAAAAGTCTTGCTAGGAAGATCTGTGTTTAAAATGCAAAGCTCTGAATCTCTCTGGTATAGAAACTACGCAGACCAGCCAAAATCCCCACCAAAATGTAAATGTTCACTAGATTGCAAGGCTACCATAGATAGATGACATTAAGGCACTCAGGATCTCAAGGCGTGAGCGTGTCACACTGAAGCACAAGTTCAACAACACTAACATTCTTAAAGTTGTATTTAAAAGAAAAACACAGGCAGAAAACTCATGAAAGTGTGAAATAAAAAATGAATAACTGATCGATTAAATTATTTTTCATTGCCGTTTGTTGTATTTCTGAAGTTGGAAGAGCCCGTTACTTTTAAACTTTAGCCTGAAAGTTGTTTCTTCCATATGAGGAACATATTTGAGTTTCAAGGTACATTTGTTTTCATAGGATTTGCAACCCAAAGGAAAACATACCTTCTAAGAGCATTTCTGGAATGTCTGCTTGATATCTAGGTCCCACTCTGATTTCACCTTTGTCAGCTAACAGTGTTTTCACTGAGGGATCATAGACCAATGAGTAGAAAAAAGTATCCTGGAAAAAAAAAAAAGACAGAAAATACCTAGGTAAACATAATTCCTTCTACTTTTTATAAAGCAATAAATCCAATGTCACAATAATGAAACCATAAAACTACAGAGTAGGGCTTCCCTGGTGGTGCAGTGGTTGAGAGTCCACCTGCCGATGCAGGGGACACGGGTTCGTGCCCCGGTCTGGGAAGATCCCACGTGCCGCGGAGCGGCTGGGTCCGTGAGCCATGGCCGCTGAGCCTGCGCATCTGGAGCCTGTGCTCCGCAATGGGAGAGGCCACAACAGTGAGAGGCCCGCATACCGCAAACAAACAAAAAAAAAGAAAAAATGTCCCTTTAATTCTGTAAAAACAAAAACCTATGTGTAATAAAGATTTTGGGAAAACAAACACTATGTAATTATAAAGCTTAAATACTGAAATATTATCAATAGTAAAATATTTTCCCCACAACACAAATGATAAAAGTCACATAAAACTACAAAATGTGGAATAGCCTTGCTTACTAGAATTTCCTCCCTTCAATGAAGTGCTTGCTCTAATTCAACCTGTTAAAAATGTTTAAAATGTTTCTTGAAGTTTACAGAAAAAAAATATTTTTAGTTGACAAAGTTTATTAGGATTCCAGGGAAGAAAGCAGACCACCAATGGTAAAATCTCATCTGCAAACAGTCTAAAAGAAATGCTATTTATTTAAAAAGAAAAAAAGGGAGGAGGACCAAGTATACTGAAGTCATTTATTTCATAAAGCCAAAAACAGTTCTTCCACTACCAACTAAATCACGTGCTATACTTTACAAGCTTTTCATTACCAAGCAAAAGAGACAGACAGACATGGGAGTTTTTGCCAACTTTTATCTCAGTTAACCAGAAAAATAAAATTAACTGAATGCAGTCCAGTCATTATACTTTTACCATAATACTGCTATCACTGTGCAATAATTTGTTAGAAGAAGAAATAATACAAAAGTATGGGCTTCTTATGAAATAGAGGGAAAACCAAAAACAAGTATAATTGTGAATTACCTCTTTATCAAGATATGACAATACAGACTCTGTCTCATTCAGAAGGGCAACACTGCATTTCCCCCTGTTGAAAGAGGAGAAAAGTGAATAAATAAAGGCCACCTCACCCTCACAGTGATGATATATACAAAGTTAGGAATATTCAAAATGTAAAGGTGGTATTAAGAAACTAGATGGCTTTTAGGAAAATCTATATATACTTGGACTCTCTACCATCTTGGTTTTGTGTAACCTAAAAAATAAGGCTGTGTTTGTAGGCATTTACTGAGAGGCTAATCTGGGGAAGGAACAATGTTAGGCAGTAAATCCTTGTAACATAAAACACTTTATAGGTATTTCCTAATTTTTCAAGAAAAAAAAGAAGAGTACAATGCAATATTCAGACTAAGAGCTAGTTTCTGAATCTGTAAAGAGTTAATATGAGGTAATTTTATACAAGGGATTTTCAAAGACAACACCATGCAAACCAGTGCCTGAAATAACCTTCAAATTTTTAAAGTAGCCACTGCATATGAGAACCTAAAATAATATACATTCACATCAGGATTAAGTAACTTACCTTTATTGAAACTGTTCTAAAGACTAGTTAAAATTTAAATACAAGAAACTCCTGTAGAGCAAGGGGCAAATAAGATTCATGGACCTTGAAGTCTCATGGCATTTACCTTTGATAATAGCTGGGTGTGTGCTTGGAAAAGAAATGTCTATTTTAAAAAAGGCTTACAGGACATGGAAGCAACCTAAGTGTCCATCGACAGATGAATGGATAAAGATGTGGCACCTATATACAATGGAATATTATCAGCCATAAAAAGAAACGAAATTGAGCTATTTGTAATGAGGTGGATGGACCTAGAGAGTCATACAGAGTGAAGTAAGTCAGAAAGAGAAAGACAAATACCGTATGCTAACACATATATATGGAATTTAAGAAAAAAAAATGTCATGAAGAACCTAGGGTAAGACAGGAATAAAGACACAGACCTACTGGAGAACGGACTTGAGGATATAGGGAGGGGGAAGGGTGAGCTGTGACAAAGCGAGAGAGAGGCATGGACATATATACGCTACCAAACGTAAGGTAGATAGCGAGTGGGAAGCAGCCGCATAGCACAGGGAGATCAGCTCGGTGCTTTGTGACCACCTAGAGGGGTGGGATAGGGAGGGTGGGAGGGACACACAAGAGGGAGGAGCTATGGGGATATATGTATATGTATAACTGATTCACTTTGTTATAAAGCAGAAACTAACACAACACTGTAAAGCAAGTATACTCCAATAAAGATGTATGTATGTATGTATGAATAAATGAATAAATTTTTTTAAAAAGAGGTAAAAAAGGCTTATCTAGACCTGAGAAAAATCAGGGTTATTCAGGTAGTTGTATTTATTACCACTTTTAAAATTATCCTCCCAGCTTGAAAACTTCAATATAGCTACAAATTTGACAGGAGAATTTTGATAGACTATTCAAGTTACAGATATTGGTCAGGGCTCACAAAATATTTTTTAAATGTCATAATATCACTTGATTTTCTAAACAAAAGTCACTACTTGCTCCCCATGAAATAGCCTGCAAAACCAAATGCATCAAATATACATTAAATAGGAAGCTTGTTGTTAGATTATCAGAGTGAAATACAATTCAAAGGAAAAAATTTCCAAAAGCAAAACTTTTGCAAAAGTAAAATATTAACACATAAGTAAAAAATTATAGTTTACTAAAAAAAAAAAATTATAGTTTACTAAACATTTTGCAACTGTATATTCCTTAAATCTAAAAAAAGATTTCCTCTCATCAAAACACCTTTCTCTGTTAATCATCTTAGGTTGTTATCGCTTCAAAAGATTTCTCTCAGGGACTTCCCTGGTGGCGCCGTGGTTAAGAATCCACCTGCCAATGCAGGGGACATGGGTTCGAGCCTTGGTCCAGGAAGATCCCACAGGCTGCAGAGCAGCTAAGCCCGTGCACCACAACTATTGAGCCTGCGCTCTAGAGCCTGCGAGCCACAACTACTGAGCCCGCGCGCCTAGAGTCCGCGTTCCGCAACAAGAGAAGCCACCACAATGAGAAGATCCTGCACCACAACGAAGAGTAGCCCCCGCTCACCGCAACTAGAGAAAGCCCGCTTGCAGCAAAGAAGACCCAATGCAGCCAAAAATAAATAAATAAATTTATTTTTTAAAAAAATAAGATTTCTCTGTGAGCATGTGGTATTTCCATATTATCCTGTCAAATCTCTAATTTGTTTACCAGGAGCTATAAAGGTTTTCTGCTTTTCTAATATATTTTATTCATGCATATTACTGAAGCAGAAAAATTAACATTATTACTTCAATGCATATGTAAAGTCAACAATTACATGACAAGCTCTTACAAAGGACAGAATTACAAGCAGGGAAATGGCTCTGTTGCTGTTACCGCATCTACAGCTGCCATAGAAGAACCTCTTATGACCTGTGAATACATGCTCATACATGCAAGAGTGCTTAAGCAACAAACGGGATTTCCAAAAATAGTTTCATTTGCTTCTCTTGCCTCAATAACTGCTGACAAAGCAGTATTTCTAACATTTAATACTTAATCACCTAGAAAAAATATTTTTTTAAGTTCTCTAAAGTCAGGTTTGTTTTTTTTTTTAATGGAGAGGAGCAGATGCTGTAAATGTTATTCTAATAGATATCACTTGAATTTTATAGGATAACAGACACTGAAAATTCATTAAAAGAATATAGCATAGGGCTTCCTTGGTGGCGCAGTGGTTGAGAGTCCGCCTGCCAATGCAGGGGACACAGGTTTGTGCCCCAGGTCTGGGAAGATCCCACATGCCGCGGAGCGGCTGGGCCCACGAGTCATGGCCACTGAGCCTGCACGTCTGGAGCCTGTGCTCCACAACGGGAGAGGCCACAACAGTGAGAGGCCCGCGTACCACAAAAAAAAAACCAAAAAACACACAAACAAAAAAATATAGCATAAAGTTGCCTCCATACTGTCTGAAATGACAAAAGAATTTAGTAACTAAACCATTATTTTCATATTTATATCAGGAGATAAGGAAACACTGATTATACTGTTTTAGAGGCACAACGTGATTACAAAACCAATAGAAGGATAGATATCCCAACCAATCTAAAATATAAGTTATTTTTGGAGATGCAGATTTTATGCAAAGAGGAAAGGATAATAGGTAATTTTAGTTCTTAATTTTTCTTTAATGTAGTATTGTACCTTTTCCCCCATTAAAAATGAAAATGTGACACTTAAATTTTCATGTACATATATTAACAGCTAACAAAGTAAGAGGTTCAGTCAGAATTATTTTATGAAGTAAATATGAATATGTAATTAACACATGTACCACCACGCCAAGAGTTGTTGATAAAAGTAGTTTAAAAAGAGATTTAAAGTGTTGGCTTCCTTTATGCTGAACAAATCTTGGCTCCCAGGAAAAAGCATGATAAATTTTAAGCTAACAGCAAACTAAAGGAGCTATTATCAACTTCTGAATATAGATAAGCCAATTGTTTTACCCTGAACCTCAATCAACGACCCTAACTGTGACTTTGTATGGGGACAGGTGATTGCTAGACTTGCTGGGATCATCTCATAATGTATGCAAATGTCAAATAGCTATTCAGTACACCTGAAACTAACATAATGTTGTATGTCAACCATATTTCAGTTTTTAACATATGCAAAAACAAACTATTTGCCAGTGTGGCGGAGGGAAGACGCTCAACATTCTCAGCCATTAGGAAAACGCAAACTCAAAACCACAGTGAGATACACTTCACAGAAAACCACAAGGATGCCTACAGTGAAAAACACAGACAACAACCAGTGTTGACGTGGATGTGGAGAAACTGGAACCCTAATACTTTGCTGGTGAGGATATAAAACTGTGCAGTCACTTCTGAAATCAGTTTGGCCGTTCCTCAAAATGTTAAACAGAGTTGCCCTCTGACCCGGCAATTCCACTCCTAAGCGTCATGCCAGAAAAGAAAACATACATCCACAGAAAAACCTGTGCACGGATGTTCACAGCAGCATTATTCATAACAGCCAAGAAGTGGAAACAACCCAAATTTCCATCAGCTGATGAATGGGTAAACAAAATGTGCAGTTCTGGTCCAAGTCCAAAGGCCTGAGAACCAGGAGTGCTGATGCTGTAAATCCCAGTCCGAGGGCAGGAGACCGAGGTCCCAGCTTAGTCAGTCACACAGAGAGAGAAGTCTCCCTTCCTCTACCTTTTTGCTCTTTTCAGATCTTCAACAGATTAGAAGAGGGTCCCCCACACGGGGGGGAATCTGCTTTACTCAGTCTACTGATTCTAATAATCTCTTCCGGAAACACCCTCACGGACACACCCAGAATGCTTAACCAGATATCTGGGCCTCACATAGCCCCAGTCAAGTTGACACATGAAATTAACCATCACAATATCTCAATAAAATTATTATTAAAAAAATATATAATATATATATATTATTCTTCAAAACTTTCAAGGTCATGAAAAACAAGGAAAGACTGGGATACACACCAGAGGAAACTATGGAGACATGATACCTAAATGAAATGTCAGAGTAAATCGTGAAACAAAAAAAGGACATCAGAAAAAGAATGGTACTATCTGAATAAAGTCTGGAGATTAGTCAATAGTAATACATCTATGTCAATTTCTTGGCTTTGATAAAGATGTAATGATTCTATAAATCATCAACATTAGGGGAAACTGAGTGAAGAGTACACGGGAACTCTCTGTACCATCCTTGCAGCTTTGTTTGTAAATCTAAAAGTATCCCAAAATAAAATGCTTATTTTTTTAAGACCCCCCCCGCAAAAACAGGGGCATTTGTGTTATTGGTCTTATGAGTCTTATATTAGCCACAAACTGAATTCTGAGCATTTTTTCACATAAAGAACCATGCCTGGTTCTGTGACTGGAAATTCAGCAAACAGTTTTATACAGCATTTAATCCACGGAATACAATGAACAAATTTTTTTAAAATTAATGAAGTTCAAAGATCCAAAATGCTTTCATAAGATTACATTTCTCAACAGC